GACATTACCTGCATTTCCCCTACTACAATACATCAAATTACTGAGCGCAGTAGTGTTATGTCCCGAACAGAGGAAAAAAAAAGAAGCAGCCAGCTGAGATCAGGCCCACTGTCAGCAGGGAATGTTCATACCGAATGAACATTAACAAAGTGATGTTAATGCACATGACAGCTGAACAAGGGAGATAACGTTGATAACATTCGACTTTAAGCCCTACAGTAAAAATATGGACGACTGTCACCAATCCAACCGTGAAAACTTGTTCCAATCGAACATGACATTTAAGTTCATTTCACCAAATCCGGAATAGTTACAATAAAGAACCAAGTATAATGATAAAACAAATTTAATCTAGAGTATTACTATTGATTTTTGTTTCGCAGTAGAAAATTACGTATAGGGGAAATGGATGTAATGTCGGCCTAAATGTCCCTAATTTGGGCCCATACATAAATTCAGCAATCGACTAAATTTTCAATAGCGACCAAAAATATCCATTAGTACCGTCCCAATGACGCGTTCATCTGGATAAAATTGATATATAGCAGATTTTTAGCAATGGGCCCAATCTTAGCTCCATAGGCCAACATTAGAGCCATTTCCCCTATAACAATTATACTGCCATTGATCCTGTTTTCTCGGATCTTTTTTCTTTGACTGTATTCTTAATTGTTTAAATCTTTGAATGATTTTATTAAAGTTTATACGAAAGTTTGAACATACTGAGAGGTGAGCATATATCATCGGTAAGAGACGTGTGTGTGTGAGAAAATTTGCCAAAAAATCTAAGGGCATCGTTGGGATTCGAACCCACAATTCCCATTCAGTATACGGGTAAATTGCCAATTATACAACGGAGGACCTACATGGTCTACGGATGTATTTGGCTAATGACATTTGAGTTTCATATCCATTTCCCACCCTAGTCTTTTTACACAAGCATTCTCTAATACACAACAATCATCTATTATCGACGATATGTGCTTGTACCGCAACCACTCAGTATCAGACGATATGAACAAACACAGCTCATTTTTGTTGTGCTTCCTTACATGCTGAAGTATTACCAGTACAGTATGGAATACAACACTTGAGCTGCCGGTCTTACCTCCGAACACCGGGCCGTAGTGATGAATATCATCAATTACTTTTTGATTTACGGTTTAGTGACTTACAGTCAATTTAATTATTTATAAGAAAGTTTGAACATACTGAGAGGGAATTTGTTTTCCGTCTATCTTGTTTTCCGGCTGAGCACCAATGCTACCGACGCCAGGGAGGCAGCTTCCACTCCTGGACCCTACCTATTGACCCATCAACTCATGAACCGGAGATCAACGGCTTTACTTCCCTTCCTAAGGAAGGCGTGATCAGAGATGTTATGCCTCAGAACATCCTGGCGGCCCCGACTGGGATTTAACCCAGGCCTGCTGGGGTAAGAGGTAATCATGCTTACCACTACACCACCGGCGCCGCTTCAGTGGATAGAAGCTGTGAAGATTTTGTCTGAAATCTTTCAATTTTAATTTTCAAAGCATTTAAATTGAAGAACATTTTTACTCAAATGCATTTTCATGATTTCCCAAAATACGTAGCATGATTTACTGTATTGATATTACATTTGTTTAATTAAATTATTTCCATACAGCAAATATTTGAATCAGTGAACATCTCTTTGAAAAATATTCAAATTATCTTCAAAAAATATCAAACAATTTCCTAGCTATATTCCGTGGAATATTTTATCTCAAATTTTAAACCTTTTCTTAAATATTTAATCAAAGGAAATTTGTTTAAGTATATTTTTGTTGTATTCTTTTTTATCCGAATCGAAGTCAGAGTCGATGAGTCTGAGTTGGAGTCAGGGTCGAGGAGTCCGAGTCGAGGAGTCGGAGTCGAGGAGTCGAAGTCGAGAAGTCGAAGTCGAGGAGTCGAAGTCGAGGAGTCGAATTCGAGGAGTCGAAGTCGAGGAGTCGAAGTCGAGGAGTCATAGTCGAGGAGTCGGAGTCGAGGAGTCGGAGTCGAGGAGTCGGAGTCGAAGAGTCGGAGTTGAGGAGTCGGAGTTGAGGAGTTGGAGTCGAGGAGTCGGAGTCGAGGAGTCGGAGTCGAGGAGTCGGAGTCGAGGAGTCGGAGTCGAGGAGTCGGAGTCGAGGAGTCGGAGTCGAGGAGTCGGAGTCGAGGAGTCGGAGTCAAGGAGTCGGAGTCGAGGAGTCGGAGTCGAGGAGTCGGAGTCGAGGAGTCGGAGTCGAGGAGTCGGAGTCGAGGAGTCGGAGTCGAGGAGTCGGAGTCGAGGAGTCGGAGTCGAGGAGTCGGAGTCGAGGAGTCGGAGTCGAGGAGTCGGAGTCGAGGAGTCGGAGTCGAGGAGTCGGAGTCGAGGAGTCGGAGTCGAGGAGTCGGAGTCGAGGAGTCGGAGTCGAGGAGTCGGAGTCGAGGAGTCGGAGTCGAGGAGTCGGAGTCGAGGAGTCGGAGTCGAGGAGTCGGAGTCGAGGAGTCGGAGTCGAGGAGTTGGAGTCGAGGAGTCGGAGTCGAGGAGTCGGAGTCGAGGAGTCGGAGTCGAGGAGTCGGAGTCGAGGAGTCGGAGTCGAGGAGTCGGAGTCGAGGAGTCGGAGTCGAGGAGTCGGAGTCGAGGAGTCGGAGTCGAGGAGTCGGAGTCGAGGAGTCGGAGTCGAGGAGTCGGAGTCGAGGAGTCGGAGTCGAGGAATCGGAGTCGGAGTCGAGGAGTCCCAATGTCATTTATAAAAGGACCGGGCCAGCAGGTTTCATGGTGTTAGGCAGCATCCGCCCTTCTTCCTCCCCACTTACTTCCTCTATTTATTACGTAACGGTCTTAAAGCCTCCCACTCTCATTTAATGAAATCCAGATTTTTCAATAATATTTCGATTTGGTTATAACTTCTTTATTTCAAGGTAATTTAGCATATTTGTTGCCATCGGTGAAACGAACGGTTGTGAAAGCGCGCAGAAAATCTTTTAACGCACCGTTCTACTGACAGTTCCCAACGGCAGATAATCACTCGAAATAAATAAACTCATTCATCCGCTTGCAGCTGATCACGCAGTGCGATCAACTATTGTAGATTTGTTATTGTTTTTCTTTGTATAATGTATAGAAAAACTATGGAAGGGAAGAAAAGCCGTTGGACCCCGGTCCATGAGTTGAGAGCTGCCTTCTTGGCGTCGGTAGCATAAGTGCTGAGTACGGACAACCAGATCGGCGGAAAATAAACCAAAGAAGAAAAAATGTACATAGGGGAAATGGATGTAATGTCGGCCTGAATGCGCCTAATTTGGGCCCATACATAAATTCCATGAGTACCGTCCCAATGACGCATTCATTTTGATAAAATTGATAAATAGCAGATTTTTAGCGTTGGGCCCAATCTTAGATCCAAAGGCCAACATTAGAGCCATTTTCCCTATATATATACAGCCATTCCATAGCAAAACGATATAGTGGTTCTCAGATTTTCGGAACAATTGGTAGTGTTGTTCCTAATAAAAAAATATTAGACCCGTATTTTTTTATTTTCTCATTAGGGTGACCATTTCCATGTTAGGGTGGACCAAAAATCGATTTATTTTTTTCTATTTTTTTCTATTTTTTTCCAAAAATGGCATTTTTTTTATCATAATTATAATACATAAACCATAAAACACAAATTCAATCAAAGTTCTTCTCTACAAAACTTCAATTTTTAATAACCTTTCATTTGATATTTTGATCATTCAAATCGGTTCAATGATTCAAAAATTATGGTTTTTAAAAAAATGCTATTTGTGGAAAAAATAAAAAAATAAAGATTTTTTGGACCACTCTAACATGGAAATGGTCACCCTAATGAGCAAATAAAAAAATACGGGTCTAATTTTTTTCGATAAGGTACAACACTTATTGTTACGAAATTCTGAGATCCACTATATCGTTTTGCTATGCAATGGGTGTATATGTATTTATATATAGAGGGTTATATAGTAGTCTGTCAAAGATAACCAATTAAAGTATTGGAATTATCTCTTACTTTGAAATGTTGTACCAGTTTAATCAACGTTTTCTTCCCCTATTTTCTCGAAAAAAAGGAACACTCTCCGAGAACCACCCACCAGACTCCGAAAAGGACTCATTTGGTATTCGTATGGTATTGCACTGTGTTGCTCGCATGAAAGAGCACGGCTGTGTTCCATGTGTGTCTGAGTAAAATTTGCCACTACATCACACCGGTGAAAAACTGTATCTAGCCGAGAATGGTCACAACTTACACCTTGCCTTGCCCAAACGAACGGTTTCTTTACTTATTTCTTGAATTTCGGTCTATTTTGTAGTTTTAACTCGCCGGGCAAAGGGAAATAGTTTGCATTTCGCTTTATTCCACCGTCGTCATTCCTCAAGGGGTTTTCCCTTATTGTGTGGTTCCACTACGACTGTCTGATGCTGCAGTAACCCTTTCCCTTCCCATTCGGTTTCACACTCTGCTGCTAGTTCCCATTGGGAGGGGGTGGCGCATACCAAGGCAATAGCCGAAAGCTGGTTATGCATGAATGAGCAGGACGAAATACGAGACACAGAGGCGATGGCACCAGCAGCCATATATTGTGAAGTACATGCATTTTACATCACTATTCAGCACGAAATCCACCAGAATAGTACTCAAGGGCGGTGTTTGAGTTTGGTAATCGTGACTGAGAAGTGAGGAAAGGAAAGTACATCGAGGGTAAAGTGAATAGAAAATTAAGCTTTGCGATAAAGCACGAAGGCTTCCACTGAGCGTTGAATTGAATTTCGGAGTAGTTTTCAAAAGGTTAGGAATATATTTCCAGTTACCCTTTTTCGGTCCCCCTTGGGCAAGGAGCATGTGAAACTAGATACGTGTGAGCAATTAGTTTTCGGGCATGGTCAACTTCACAGTGGCATTCAGTCACATTTGACATGGAATTACACTTTTCAATTTTGGGATTTGCTCTCCATTTCATCCGTTACTTTTCTCTTTTTCCCACGAATGCAGCTCAAGCCTGGTCGCAGTGTCAACGCTTCGTCCTGGTGCATCGGAGCACGTGAAGAAGGAGTTCCGAGCGAAAGCCAAACAGCTCAGCCGATTGAACGACCAGAACGTGGTGAAACTGATCGGTGCCTGCCTGAAAGACGAGCCAATTTGTATCGTTTTAGACTACAAATTTGGCACGGACCTGAACCAATTCCTGCAGGAGCATACGGCCGAAACCGGCACGCTGGTGCAGCATAATTCGTTAAGGTGAGTTTTCAACATTAAATGTTTGTTTCATATATCGCACAACGGGATATGGTGGATGATGCTTACGGTAGAGTAGCATTTCAACAGACAATAATAACAGAAGTTTTTAATTTGGTAGCTTTAAGCTACACATGCTATGCACAATTTAATTTTCTGGATATAGTTTTCGTTGCAATCTGAAGTCGAACACGAGTACTTCAAATAATAAATTCCAACAAATCGCTTCAAATAGCTAAATCTCTACAAAATTTGGAACGGGATCAATGAGCATTTAGAATTCGAAAATCAATATTCGACATCATGTTGAAATCCATTTCACTATGATGAATTTCCACAAATCCCTAAAACATGACCCCACTTCCCTTTCGATTTTTATTGAGATCCCCAACAACTGTGCCAAATTCGAACGAATTTGATTGCAATCTGGATTAGTAGGAGAAAATGTATGGGAAACGGAACAAAACTGTGTAGCTCTTTGTCAAAAATTCAAAAATTACTCATTTTTCTTACCAAACCTGTAACTTAGATTGGAAAAACTATCCAGGACAGTTTTGTTGAAGATCGCAAACCGTTTATAACATTTTACTTAAGGTCAAATGTTCTGCGCATACCTACAGACAAATGAATGAACTTGTAGATATGTTCATAATAATATGTTAATTTAGTTTTTTGGACAAAACATTTACCGATGTATGGTCTTCTGCAAAAAAAATGTCTGCATAGTTTGCCCAATTTAAGTTTCAGTTGTGGACAATAGTTAGCAATGTGAACATTTTTTTATATATTTAAATAGATTCTTTCTGTTTCTCATACATTTTTCAATACAAACTTTAAAGTTCTTAAAAAATCCTGGTCGTAACTAAATTCGATCAAATTTGGCATGCTTGTTAAGGACCAGATCGCAGCAAATAAATGACTTCCAAATAGGTTCGTTGAATGGAGCTCGACGATCGTTGTTGTTTTCATAATGAAAGTAAGATGTGAGTTGTGAGATGTAAAGAGCAAAATGTGAGTTGTGATAATATACTAGCTTTAAAATGATAATTTTTCCCAGAGAGACAACACTTCACAACAACTCCGTCTCAGACTTTATTTCGATCAGATGGGACGCCATTATGAAAAAATAACAAACAATTATGCAAAGTTTCATGCAAATCGAAGAAATTAGAGTCAAACATTCATATTGTTTTGCTATTTGGCCAGTAAATGCTCTATTCCAACTTTTATTTATTTTATTTATTATAATCTTAATTCATCTGACTTTTGGTTGTCTTAATGAATAATCTAAGTTTAAAAGGATGCTTAGTCAATCTATACATTCAGGACATTCTTCTGATAAATTGCTTTATGAAGACTATTCACATCTTACTCCTCATATCTTATGTACTAACTTTTCACAAAAATCACTACACACGTCTCATTACTCACTTCTCATTGTTGCGATAGATTGGTAGTTCTTTCAGCAGTAATTTCTAACCCATGGTTGGGTGGTAATCAGCTTAAAGCTAAAACAAATTGGTTTATTTAGGATAGGTTTTGCAACTAATTTTAGGTTTTTTACTCACAATTCAGTCTCCGTACTATTTATCTCATATATTTCACAAAGGAGTTCTTTGTTAGTTTTAATTCCTAGCCTGTAAGTTCAACTAGTAAGTAATATATTTTAGTAATAGCAAAATACTGTTATAGTGCTGATTGTTGAAAAGTGATAAGCTATTGTTATTTTTCATCCCAGTTTCTCCCGTCATTCCGTTTGACGGTTCGCACTTCCCGGATCAACCGCTGGGTGTAGTGAGTCGAGCGTTAGGTACCGTTTGCGGTATTCAGTACGAGGGGCTGTTGCGGCGAACACTCATCGCAACATTATTTATGTCTATGCGATTAGGTGTGAAATAGATGGAAGCAACATGAGAAGTGAGATGTGAGAATGGAAATAAAGCGAGTAATACTTGTGTGAGATGTGAGTTATCAATACACTCAATTCTGATTCCACGCATTTTTTTTAAATTTCGCCCCCATGCAGTACGACCTTATTTTCATTAAATGTTTTGAAACAATTTGTATAATATTAGGTATCATTTTGAGAATACACGATTAAAAATATACGTGGAAAAAAAGTAGCGTATAAACAGAATTAAGTGTACTTTTTAATAGAGAGGGTGCCTTTGCCTTTCAGATAGTCATAGATTGAATATTCTGTTAAACTCCACTTGATTCCACTAGGTTTCCTGCGCTTTACCCCTGGCTGGACCTAAGTATTGATGAAGGTATACTGGCCAGATGATGGATGCTTGGTTCAGAGTTGTTCGGCATGGTTCTAGCTACCACCGATGGTCGTCGTCGCCTTTTACGTCCATAGTTGACGTGGCTGTTGGTCATCGATAATCACTACTAGGTACTCCAGTACGTCCTTCGAGGCAATAACATGCTCTCCAACGATTCTGCCTACTGATACGCTTTGCAGTTACTGGCCTCTAGTTCTTAACCGTTTCGATCGCCTCGGTTGCTAACATTTCCACTTCTTCTCGCATCTCGATTTTTACCATCAACAAAGCCAACGATCTCGACACCTCTGGGTAGCTTAAGCGTCAGCACTCCGTTGTACATAGCGTTGAGGCAAGGATAGTGCCTTGAAGTGATCCTAATCGATCTCTGTATCATCTATGTCGTGTAGACTAGTGCCTGGTGCTTGAAGTAATGCTGAAATCCAATCGGTATTTTCAACAATCCATACTCGCTCTCTATACATTTCGTCAGTCTGTTGAGGATAATCTTTACCAGTAGTTTTCCTAGTGTAGAAAGTGACCTTCGTCTAGAAATTTATGAATCACCACCACATGTCCGGGAACGCTTGGGTCACCGTTTTCAAAGCCACGCCACGTTGGGGATTCTATTCGGACCGGGTGCCTTTTTCATCTTCAATGCTCCTGCTACGAGTTCCTCAATTCCTGTAAATTTGTATTCCTTCAGCGTTGCCTTTTTCTGCCTCGTCGGACACTACAGGTGTCCAGGTTGTTGTGTGGTCCCTCAATAATGACTTTCAGCTTTCTAGGCACAATTGAGCGAATGCGTCTCGGTTCAGCCCCTCAAAGCAAATAGTTCTGCTACGCTTTATCTCTAAGCACTCCTATACGTTTACCTCTGCATGTTTCAGTTCTGGCTCTCTGAATGCTTCTCCTGGATTCACTGGTCGAAGGTATTCTTTGGCTCCAGTTTCATCAGAATCGTAACTTTTCTGTCAACACAACCTTGTTCAGGTCCAAGGGAGCGCAGTCTACACGTAGAGCTTCGACAAAAAGATCCTCACCGAAAGCCTTCCACTTCCGCTCGTGTATTCTCGTCCTCCGCATCGCTCACAAAATAAACGAGATGGAAGGATAAATGAAAATCCCCATTTAAAAAGATCATTCATTTCAATGCGTACTAAATGCTTTCAAGCAATTGTGCGATTGTTTGGCCTCCTGTGAAGTGAACGAATGCACACAGTGTGAAGGATTCGCTCGAGAAAACTATAAATTAAAATGAATTTTGTATTTTTTTTTTACTGATGATTCAAAAAGAGCAAGCTTTCATGTTCTTTACAATTGTTGTTGTTTTTATGATAAAACTCAAAATTTAAAAAAAAATTTAAACATACGTACCAATAATTTTATAAAAACAAACTCAGCGGTGCGGCGGTGGTGTAGTGGTAATCGTGATTGTATCTCATCCCAAAAGGCCTGAGTTCAATCCCAGTCGGTGCTGCCGGGAATTTCTGAGGCATAAAATCTATGATCACGCCTACCTTCGTAAGGAAAGTAAAGCAGTTGGTCCCCGGACCATGAGCTGATGAGTCGATAAGTAGGGTCCAAGTGTGGATGCATGGCTCCCTGGTGCAGTAGCATTGGTACTCAGTACGCAAAACAAGATCGACGGAAAACAAATCAAGGAAAAATAAATCTTAAGCGTGAGTTTTGAGTTTTTGAGATTTTCCGAACAAAGTTTGCGAATTTTTATCAACAAGTGGGTCAAGTGTGTATGGTGGATCACAACCACATGTTCCTCCCAATGCTCTTCTGATGTATATTGAGGTCTCCAACAAGGTTGTCATATTTGAACAAATTTGGTTGTGATCTGGATTGGCGGGAGATTTTTTAATTTTGGATAGGAAAATGTATGGCAATCGAAATAAACCTATTTATTTGCTTGCCAAAAACTGAAATAAGGCTTGTACTCGAAAAAAAAATGCACCATTTTTATCCGTGTGTAACTTTTTTTTATCCGTGGGTAAAAATTGATAAAAACCTGGGTATAACTAGTTTGGAGTGAATTGTTTACATGTGCAACAATCGGTTCAGTGGTTATTGAGATGCCATAGAAACAATAAGAAAATCGCCGGAGAATTTTGCGCGCCGTCATAAGAAAATCCGACTGCGACCATGAGATGGATCGGAAGACAACTGGGAATCATCCATAAAACTGTGTCTCAGGTGGTAAAATCGTTTAAGGAGTCCCAGACAACCGAGCGGCGGGCTGGAAGTGGAAGAAAATCGAAGACAGCTGACCCTGTGAAGGCCCGGAAGGTGTTGGATTATTTCAAGCGTAATCCGAACCATTCGATTCGCGACGCGGCTCTGAAGGCAAAGTGTTCCGCCTGGTTCGTTCAGCAAACCATGAAACGAGTTGGGCTTCGTGTATTCAAGGTCCGGAAGGCACCGAACCGGCGTGATCAACAATACACGGCGGCCAAATCCCGCGCAAGTTGTATCGAGAGTGGTTAACGAAACCGATGTGTGTGGTTATGGATGACGAAACCTACATCAAGGCAGATGCAAAGCAGATACCGGGGCTGGAGTTCTACGTTGCCAAATCACGATTTGATGTTCCGGAAGACATAAGGAAGAAGAAAGTGGACAAATTCGCCAAAAAATACTTGCTCTGGCAGGCCATATGCTAATGCGGTAAACTGAGTAAACCGTACATCACAATGGGTACCATCAACAGCGAAATTTACCGCACCG